CGTGCGCCCCCTTCCCGCCGGCCCACCACTTCGGGCCGTGGCTCGCGGAACCCACGCCCTCCCTGCCACCAGTGCCAAGGGGAAACTGAGGCTCGCGTCCAGCCCCACAGGCGCTGCCCCCACCCCCTCCCTCCCGGAGGGAAGGGGCTCAAAGTCCGGAAACAAGTACCTAGCGGGAGGAGGGCAGTTGGGGGTCAGAATCCTGGGGGGTGGGGAGGGGAAGAGCAGGCACACCGCCAGCTAAGACCACTTCTGGGAGAGGGGTGAGCAGGAAGGGCAGAGCCAGGCCCTGGTCCCCTCGGTGCCTCAATTTTCACATTTGTAAAATAGCAAAAGCAGAGACAATTTTTAAATGTGCAGGCAGTTATGCAGGCAGCACCCAGCCAGGCCTGCCTGGCACGGAGCAACCGCCCAGAGATGGGGCTGGCATCCTGCTGCCCCGTCAGCAGGCTGGGCCGGCTGGGCGCTTAGACTACTGGCTGGGGGAAGACAGAAGTCCCTCCACTGAGCTGGCAGAGGAACAGAGCCAGCAGGCTGAGGGCTCAGCGAGAGCCAGGCCCTGTCCCCACAGGTCCCAGATGTGGGTGAGCACTCCCACACTCACCTGGCAGCTGAGACCTTTTTAGTTCCTATTGCTTGAGAAACCGCAAGTTCCTTGAGAAGCCTCGAGGTTGTTAAGTCAATCAACACACTCACACTGAGAGCCCACTGTGGACCAGCCACGGGCTAGGCATTGGCACCCAGCAGGGGACAACAAATAAAAGCTTTGCGCTGTGTTAACGTTTGCACCTGGGTCAGCAGGTGTATGAGCAGCAGGGTCCAAAAGTCTCATCAAGTGTAAGGCATTGTTTTCCAACAACAGACACTGCCTGAGATTCCTACTCTGCCAGGAATCTTCCAGGGACCAGGAGCACAAGGATAGATGGAGGAGAGCAGATCCCTGCCTACTATGACTTCGGAATGGGTGGGGGTACAAGGCAAGACCACAGCTTGGGTGTTATCGAATTAGCTGTGTGTAAAGAGACTTTAAGGCTCTCCCTGGTGTCCTAATGTGAAGCTAACTGCAGCTGCTTCAGCATGAGTTCGTTCCCTGGTCAAGGAGTGACCCACAGGACGCAGCAGACCTCTCCTGCCCCGCCCGCTGCTCCCCTCAGCAGTGGACTTCGTCTATCTGCCTGTTCTGCTCCCCGCTCTGTCTCTGGTGAATCCTCTCACCACCCCTGCACCTCTGGCCCATATCCCAGTTCTGGATGCATAAATCTATTTTTAAAAAGTGAGGATTTAGGGAGCATTATTAGAGATTAACAAGAGGAAAACTACTTATCTGGGGTGTCTGAGAGAGGTGTTTGTTAGGGGTTCTGTTAACACTGGAGAGGGGATCCGAAAGATTAAAGTAGGCAGCCATGAGAAGAGAGGGGGAAAGAGAGCCTCACGGGGGGAAGTTGGCGGGAGTAATCCATAGCTCCCTATTGCCAGGAAAATAAAACACAAGTTCTCCCTCTTCCCACGAGCCTTGCACAAATCCCCACCCACCCTCCCTTCCTGATCCCAGTCTCCAGTCACTTCTAACCCCACGCTCTGGGCTTCAGTCAAGCCAGCCTCCAGCTCTTCCTCCAACACCCATCCAGTCACGGGCCTTTGCACATGCTGGTCTGCTGCTCCCTCCTTCTCCTCATTCAGGCCTCAGCTCACTTCCTCAGAAAGACCCCTCAGGCCTCCTGTTTAAAGAACACACCACCTCCCCCACCCTCTTATTGGCTCACATCCTATTCCTTCTCCTTCCAGCTTCTGTCATGGTTTGGGTGCCTGTTTTGCCATGATGTTTCCTACTTGTGTCCCTGGCCAGTCTGTGTAAGGGTAGGTGCCTCCGTCCCCACAGAGCCTGGCACACAGTGAGGGCTCAATAGGTGAATACCCCGGGGTGAGAAGGAACAGCAGGTCACTTAGAGCCAGAAGCCCACTCTCACTGGAAAGTCCTGGCAACAAGGAGTTCCACAATCCATAATGCCAAGATTCTAGGTCCCTAGGGGCTTTCCCTTCCCTTTTTTCTTAAAGATTTATTTATTTGTGCATACAGAACTGGGGTACAGGCCAGAGGCTCAGGAGCAGCGAGAGGCTTCACCAGAAACAGAGTAGGGAGCAGAACAGGCAGATCAACGAAGTGCACTGCTGAGGGGAGCAGCGGGCGGGTCAGGAGAGGTCTGCCGCGCCCTGTGGGTCACCTCTGGGGCAGGGATCAAACTCTCACTGAAGCAGCTGTGGCCAGCTTGCAGTGCTGGCTTTACCCACTGCACCACCACGGAGGGCCCCTGGGAGGCTTCCCTAAGAGGTGTTGCTCCCCTGGAAAAACAACATCTCCCCTGCTGAGAACCCAAGTCCAAATAGTGGCACCCCTCAGGTACCCTTCCCACGCTGCAAGTTCTCCTGGGGCTTCTTGTGCCCAAAGCCCTCAACCTCCTCAAGTCTGAGGCCCCTATTTGACCCTCACCTCTCAGTTCTGTCCAGAGCGGCCTTGCCTGCCCCGCGCCCAGGCGCTCTGGACCAGGCGGCTTCCTCTCTGAGCGCTGTTCTCTTCACTTAGCCTCACCACTGAACGGCTGCTGGGCCTGAGCCTCGGCCTCCCCAGCTTGGTCACAACCTCTCTGAGGCTTCATGAGGGTGACTCCCAGCTGGCTTCACCCCATCTCCGCCCTAAAGCCCCATCCTGTGGATGTGGCCAACACACTCTGAGTCCCTCAGGCCGCTGGACTCAGGAGCTTCCCCCAAACCTGCCATCACTTGTCAGGCTCCACAGCCCACCTGAGCCCCAAGACAGAGCCCCTCTCTCCCTTGCACCTGCAGACACTGTCGGTGCCCACCCCACTGCCCTCTTCCTCTAGCCCTTCCCTCACCCCCATTTGGACCTCAGGCCACCCTGCTCCTCTAAGCAGCCCTCACTCTCCTGACCTCCATTTGACTCAGACTCTCCTTCATAGAAACCCTCCTGAGGCTCCCAATTACCCTCGGGACAAATTCCCAATTCCGCAAAGCCACAGTTCCTAATCTGTATTCTTTCCCACCTCTGAGTCTCTGCTTCCTGATGCTATCTCTTCCTGGGATTCCCTTCCATCCCTTTTTGCCAGCAGAAAGCCCATTCCCTCCCAGACCCAGCCCAAAAGGCAGTCCCAGGCGTCTCCCGCAGCCTTTCGGCAGCCTTTCCCTTCACACAGCGAGGAACCCAGGCTGCCTAATATCGGTGGAGGACTGGCTATTGACTCTAGAACCAACTCCCGATTCTGGAAGATGCTGGGACCCTAGTGAGGACCCAAGTCTTGCAGGGGGATCAGGAGGAGGTAAAGCAGGTTCCCAGGATGGGAGGGCTCAGGTACGACCGTCCCCAAAGAGCGCCCCCAAAGTACAGGGACCGCTCGCAGGCTACCCACAAAGTACAGGGCACAGGGAGTGCCCAGCGCTCCAGGGATCCAGCTTGGCAGAGGGCTGGGGGGAGAGGGGTGCATCCAGAGGAGCTTCCTGGAGGAGGAGAGCTTTACCCACCACTGTCTTCACCCCTCTCAGTCGAGCACATTCCACAGGGGAGAGTAAGTACAGGGTTGCGGTTGCCTGAGAAGCCACAAGGTCACACACTCGCCACAGGCCATTTCTCGCTGTGGGATCTTCCAGGCAGGAGGTATTTGCCCTGAACTGCAGCGACCCTGGGTTGGGGAGCAGCTTTTAGAATTTGGGGAGGCTCAGTTGAGGGCAGCCTGTGAGGTGGGGGATTCCTAGACAGTTTATGACTCCATAACTCGCTGAAATGCCACATCCGGCAAGAGTAAGAGGCAGAGAAAGTGAGAGCGGGGGCAGCCTCGCCCTAACGCGTCGGCGGGAGGTTTAGACTCGCCCCAGCTAATCTGCCTCTATCCTGGGGCCGGGCCTTAGCTCAGTTCTCAGTTTCCCCACCTTAGAGGCTGCAAAAGAGGGACAGGGCTTAGCGGTCGATCTCTCCCCTCCCACTATTCAGAAGGTTCCAGTTTTTATGGTGTGAATGTGGGTTTTGTTTTTGTTGTTGTTTTTAAGCTGAGAAGCAGCGTTGGGACCCCGGATTGCTCAGACCACCTTAAATCAGGCTCGCCGCCCCGGCTACTGTGGAAATTCCTTTCTCCGCGGTGGTTGGTTGGCCGCGCCAGCCAATCCGTCCGCGGCGCTCCCACATGGGTCCGTGACGCCACAATAGGCACCGTCCAATGGCGGCCAAGGAACCGGCAACCAATGGCAGAGGGCACCAGGGTTGGCTCAGCCAATCGGAAGGCGGCGAGGCGCTCCCAGCGGGGTGCTCCCACTCCCTGAGAGGGGCTGCGACCCTCGTGGAAGCTTCCTCAGGGCCAGCTTTTGCGAGGGGGGGCCTGAAAGGGCTCAGGTACGACCGTCCCCAAAGAGGGAGGAACGAGCGCCCCCAAGCCCGGCGGCTCTCCCCTTGAAACATGCCCAGCGTCCTCCCTCGGCCGACCAAGCGGAGGGGCCGCCTGCGCGCCTCTCGCCCTATTTCGCTGATCGGTAAACTGAGCTAGAGAGAGGCGCCGCGCTGGACGTCGGGCACGAGCGGAGGCGCCTGGGTCCTCCCAGCTTGGGTTCCCAGT